GTTAAATCTTGTCTCAATATCTGTAAAACCGACTGAGTTATAGTAATGTTTATGTTTCCTAATGTTTAATGGGTGGCTATTTAGAATTAAATAATTAAAATAGTAAAAATAATACCTCAGAAGGTGATTCTGGTCCACCATTCGGCATCTCAGGAGGGGAAAGCGGTTCGCCACCAACACTGTTATGGTGGGGATGGTGCGCTGCTGACCTCAACTTGGAACATTGTCATAGGCGGAATACTTCGAACACCTTCTCAATCCTACTGACACATYTTCCCATGAGAAAGCAGAGACTTGGGACCCTGGGTCGGACTCTCCAATCTCTGGTGCCAAGGTCACCGAGGTGGTTAAAAAGCTCCTCGTTAACAATGCACCGGGGGTGGATGAGATTCACCCAGAGATCCTTAAGGCTCTGGATGTTGTGGGGTTGTATTGGTTGATGCGACTCTACAATATCGCGTGGACATCGGGGGCAGTTCCCCTGGATTGGCAGACCGGGGTGGTGGTCCCCCTATTTAAAAAGGGGGACCACAGAGTGTGTTCCAACTATAGGGGGATCACACTTCTGAGCCTCCSTGGTAAGGACTGTTCAGGGGTCCTGGAAAGGARGGTCCGTCTGATAGTCGAATCTCGGATTCATGAAGAACAGTGTGGYTTTCGTCCTGGTTGTGGAACASTGGACCAGCTCTACACCCTCAGCAGKGTCCTGGAGGGTGCATGGGAGTTCGCCCAACCAGTCTACATGTGTTTTGTGGACTTGGAGAAGGCGTTTGACCATGTCCCTCAGAGACTCCTGTAGGGGGTTCTCCAGGAGTATGGGGTACCAGGCCTGTTGATASGGGCTGTTAGGTCCCTGTATGACCGGTGCCAGAGCTTGGTCCGCATTGCTGGCAGTAATTCGGAYTCGTTTCCGGTGAGGGTTGGACTCCGCCAAGGTTGCCCTTTGTCACCAATTCTGTTCATAATGTTTATGGACAGAATTTCTAGGCACAACGAAGGAGTTGAGGGGATCCTTTTTGACGACCTTAGGATCATCATCTTTTTGTGGATGATGTGGTCCTATTGGCTTCATCAGATCTTGATCTCCGGTTCTCACTGGAGCATTTCGCAGCTGAGTGTGAAGCGGCCRGGATGGGGATCAGTGCCTCCAAATCCGAGACCATGGTCTTGAGCCGGGAAATGGTAGGGTGCCACCTCCGGGTCGGGGAGGAGGTCCTGCCCCAAGTGGAGGAGTTTAAGTATCTTGGGGTCTTGTTCACGAATGAGGGAAGAATGGAGTGGTAGATTGACAGGCGGATTGGTGCTGCATCTGCAGTGATGCTGGCGCTGTACTGGTCTGTCGTGGTGAAGCGGGAGTTGTGCCAGAAGGCGAAGCTYTCAATTTACCGGTCGTCTACGTTCCTACCCTCATCTATGGTCACGAGCTTTGGGTAGTGACCGAAAGAACGAGATCGCAGATACAAGCGGCCGAAATGAGTTTCCTCTGTAGAGTGTCTGGGCTCTCCCTTAGAGACAGGGTGAGAAGCTCGGTCMTTTGGGAGGGACTCAGAGTAGAGCCGCTGCTCCTTCATATCGAGAGGAGCCAGTTGAGGTGCCTCGGGCATCTGGTTAGGATGCCTCCTGGACGCCTCCCTKGTGAGATATTCYGGGCATGTCCCACTGGGAGGAGGTCCAGGGGAAGACCCAGGACAAGCTGGAGGGACTATGTTTCTCAGCTGTCCTGGGAACGCCTTGGGATTCCTCCGGATGAGCTGGCCCAAGTGGCCGGGGAGAGGAAAGTCTGGGTCTCTTTGCTTAGGCTGCTGCCCCACCAACCCGACTCTGGATAAGCGGAAGAAAACAGACGAATGGACGGACGGACGGACCTCAGAAGGTAATTATTTGTTGATGTACATCAAGGATTACCTTCTGCAAATTTTATTCAAATCCATCCAGTAGATGATGAGATGTTTTTCTAAAAYATCTGTGCTGGGCATGGTTCCGCTAATCTACTAACAGCTAATTGTGGAACTAACTTTTCATTTAGTGGATTAGCTTTTTTTACTAAGTGTCCCATTCATGAGGCTCTTTCTGCCATATTTTGACGGCAGCCTGCAATTTGTATTTACAAAACACTAGATGGGACTAACTTACCTAGACCTACATAAAGAAATCATGTCAAAGTCAAAAGTGCAGCACAGCTGTGCTTTTGAGTCTCCAAAGGATTTTTCCAAACAATAATTTTTATAAACATATTCAGAGAAATCTACAAASAAAAAGACYGCAACTACAAARAGGGATGGGAACAAAAAATATCARTGGGTTGAACCTGTCRGTGGTAATGCAATTAAAGCTTTTTTGCAGTTTATGCTGTTGGGAGTTTTCAATTGGACATGGAGGTGAGAATGATTTATCTCAGCGTGCTTCCATGGAAATGCACAAGAAAGCCACAGCTGCTTAAGGTTCAAGCAACATTACTGCTTTTTTGGTTTATGTTATATAAATCTTCATTTTAATTTGTGATTATAAGCAGATTGTGAGCTAGCAAAGCTAACTATTTGGTTAGCAGTACCCACCACAGTAAAAGAAAAATTAATTTGTCACCAACAATTAATCCTAAAAATTTAAACAATGATCTCAAGGAATGAACCACACTTATCTGTTTGGGATAAATCTCAACTACTACCACACCAAATTTTAGGTCATTAACTGTAAAATTTACTGAGTTGAAGCTATTTTTGTGCCTTTTAAGGTTATTTGGCATGTGGCAGCCATCTTGAATTAATTAACTTCGAAGGTTAATCACCTGTACATGTACAAACAAAGATTACTTTCAGTGAAGTTTGTTTTATGAGATATTCTGGTCACTTTTTGGCGACAGATTATTTCTAGTTGAGTTGCATTTTACTCTAGTTAATTTTATCCAAAAGGTGGCTTTACAGTATGCTAAACCTATTAGCTTCCATAGCTGCAGTCAAGGCCACATGCTAATGCTAGCTGGGAGTTAGCCAACAAGGCAAGAAGCTTATCTGTGTGCGTCGCTCCTAATGGGGGCTCACGTGGAGGAGGGGGAAGTCGGGTCAACCTGGAACTACACAGGACATGAGTTTATGGGATGTGAAGCTGAGTCATTGAAAAGAAAACTCAAAATGAAAAATACTGACAGTTTCTTTAGGTTTAATGTTGTGCAAATTATTCTTTCATGAAAAATGGTCATTAATGCTATTTATTCAAATGGACTTTGTGGTTTAGTTGTAATTATGTGCAGTGATTTAATTTTTATTATTAAATTTAGTATTTTGTGTTCACATTAAAAATTCTGGAAAAAAWTATTAATCCTGATTAGCCCATGCTTCTCCTTTTGATGATTGAAAGACTATTAAAGGAATTGGTAATGTCCTTCTAGACAATTTAAGAGTTATTTCAAGCCAAGTCAATCCTGTAAGACGTTACGAGGCATCCTGCCAGGTCATCTTGAATACGTGACCTGCTTGGGACTCCTGCTGCAAGATGTTTCTGGTTGTGTGTTTACTTTGGTTCCTCACGTGTTTCATTCAGTTCAAGTGACCACACGTATCTACTGTACATGTCCTGGAAAGTTTTTGTTTGTTGATTTATTTGTTGATTTATTTTTTGCAAAAACAGAAATAAAATTTGTCCAAAATACAAAAAGGTGCATGTGCCAAGATACATTTTGTATTGTAGCTTGACTCCCCCATGAAAACCTCTCCCTCATTTGAAAAAATGGGGTTGTCTTAATTTTGTGTGCTCTGACAGGATTATCCCTCTCAGGTGCTCTCTCGGTCCATCCCATCTATTTATAAAACACTCGTCAACTTGAACAGCTAATCTTTCTGTAACCAGAGGTTCAACAGTTAATCACAACCAGACAGACAACGATCTAGTCTTCAGTGTATCCCTGACTGTATCAGTGGGTCCATATGTTCCTCAGTACCTATGTTTMCCATTAAACCCATGTTACTCTTTACCTATGTTACCTRGTATTTATGTTACTGGGTACTTGTGTTCCCTGGTATTTATGTTACTGGGCACCTATGTTCCCTGGTATTTATGTTACTGGATACCTATGTTCCTTGGTATTTATGTTACTGGGTACTTATGTTCACTGGTATTTATGTTACTGGGCACCTATGCTCCCTGGTATTTATATTACTGGATACCTATGTTCCTTGGTATTTATGTTACTGGGTACTTATGTTCCCTGGTATTTATATTACTGGATACCTATGTTTCTTGGTATTTATGTTACTGGGTACTTATGTTCCCTGGTATTTGTTACTGGGCACCTATGTTCCCTGGTATTTATGTTACTGGATACCTATGTTCCTTGGTATTTATGTTACTGGGTACTTATGTTCCCTGGTATTTATGTTACTGGATACCCATGTTCCTTGGTATTTATGCTTCCGGGTACCTATGTTCCTTGGTACATATGTTCCTAGGTACCTTTGTTCCCTGGCATTTATGTTTCCAGGTATCWATGTTCCCTGATATTTATGTTACTGGGTACCTACTGTATGTTCCCTGGCATTTTTGTTCCATGGTACCTATGTTCCTCGATGTTCCCTCAGTTTATGTTACTTGGTACCTATGTTCTCCAGTATTTATGTTATCTGGTACTGGACCTATATTTGGTGGTACAACCTTTTTACTTGGTACCTATGTTCCCTGGTACCTATGTTCCCCAATGTCATGAAAAATGTTTGCTCCCCCCTTGAAATGTCTTTTGAAACAAATGAAAAACATACTGAATTACAGTGCATGCATTGTACTGAAGAACATAAAGATGACTTTGCAGTGCTTTGATTTCGACACTGTTAAAATATTAATGTAAGTTGTGGATTGTTACTGAGGTCYTTAATCTTCTTTCCTAACTTCACTGATGAAACAAAAGAATCAGATTTTTTAGGTTACGGTTTATGTTACTGTCTTCTCTCACATTCTGTGGAGATGAAACTTTAAGAAAACACTAACGGACTTGGGGTTTTCCTTCWTTACAGAGTCTGTTCCCAAGGCGTTTGGCATCTCGCTCTCGCAGGTCATTGCCAACGATCAGGCCTACAAACGTCGGCAGGACGCCCTGAAGGAGAGCAGACGTGACTGCCTCGATCTGGAGGCCAGCATCCTGCGCTTCAGGGCGGAGAAGAGGCAATTCTTCGGTGAGAACAAACCTCTAGTCTGCTCTTCGATGATAATGGGAGGAGGTCCAGGCTCACCGTCATCAAACTCGGTGGCACCTGCACCCATTTCAGACTCTCAGAGCAAACCGTTGTCGCCCATGTTAATGGATAACAGTGGCAGGGCGCAGAGAAGGGTGAGACTTATTTTATTTACACATTTGATTTAACGTGCTCTCTTTTATAGGAGATAAGGACCTCTTTTTTTCTCTTTCTACCCACTGCCACTAGGTGCTTTTTGTTTTGCAAACACAACATCCTTTATCATTTTTATGCAGATGACTGTCTAATACTTCTCTTTGAAGCACACTGGTGCACACTCTGTCCAACCTCTCCTTCACTGCCAGCTTGACACCAGGAGTGGAGTGGCATTTTTTTTATTAAATAAGACAAAGACAGAAGCTATACTGTTTATGCCTAACAGCACCTGTGAGAACTCCTGCATTGATCTTTCCTCCGTTGCCCCTTTTTGAAAAAATATCACAAATCTGAAAGTGACAATGGAGCCTTCACTTAAACTAAGAAGTCAGTTAAATAATATTGAGAAATAAAGGTTTAATTGTTTTAGTTAAACTTTGGAAATGACAGTGTAATCTCACAGAAATCACATTATCTGGCTCAGTCTTTTAGAACTTGGAGCATGTGTTGTGAAGAACTCCCAGATACTACCACTGGTACCAGTGGCAGTGGACATGGGAGGGAGATAATGGTGTTGGCTGTGTCTACAAGGGAGTAAGACAAGGAGGGGCAAAATGTAGCATTTCCTTACAGGCACCAACACTTTTCAGACACRGTGACGATCTGCATTCTCAGTCTCATTTTTCTGCTGCAGTTCGAGTTAGAGGAAATATCAGACACTTGATGTTCCTCCAGCAGCTCTTATTTGGAGACATTTCACGAGCGATTTATATATATTCCTCCAGTGTTGGTTTTCAGCACCTCTGATATTTATTGGATGGAAGTATCAAGATGAATGATTCATGGTGTCTTCTGTGTTCAGCTGGCCTCTTTTTCTGTCATCTGTCCTGAAAATGTACTTTCCATTTTCTGCTCCCTGTTCTCCTTTGTCTCTTTATTTGTTGGCCTGTCAGCGACAGTTTCATGCACTCTCGCATTGTTTCCCTTCCTCTGGATTTCCGAGGGTGTAAATATCGGTTATGACTTTGTTTTCACACATTTATAATTTAATCAGTGTATTAATGTGGACCGATGTACACCCATAAATATACTAGCTCTGAGCTAATTTACTACACACATTATAGCTTTTTAGCCTTGACTGTTTGTGTTGTAGTCTCGACTGTAACCCTAAACTTACCATCATCTTCCCCAGAATGCATTGCATCAATAATAAAATGGCAACATGCTTCAGTTAAATTGTAATAAACAAATAGTTTTTTTAGTAATTAGATATTTTCACTTGTCACAAACAATAGATTTAAGTGGAATAAAGAATTATAACATTAAGGCCAACATGTGCAAGTATTCAGAGAGCCCTGCTGTCATGAGCTGAACTGGCAAAATTCCTTTAGACATTTTCGGCTCCATAGCGCTGTTGTAAAATAATAACCTGTAAGTGAAAATGTCTCCAAGTTTTAATGGTAAAATGCAGAAAATACCTTGTTAAAGTGCACAGTGTYACTGTAGTCTCTGTCCTCTGCAGGGTGGCCTGTCGGTGGACTGCATCTCTGACCTCGTAGAGAGTCAGTCCCGCCTGCTGGAGGCGCTGCAGCTCTCCCACCCAGCTGAGCTGGAGATGAAGAAATCAGCATCCGAAGGGAGGACCAAGCTCAGCCTCAACCCCATCTACAGACAGGTGCCTCGAGTGGTGGAGAGATGCTGCAGCCACATCGAGAACTACGGTCAGACTTCATTTAATGTCCAGAAGTAACCAAAGCCAAAGCGTGAAGATGTTTTGATTTAAACTCCTACATGCTCATTGAAGTTAAATTATACGTGTATACAGATATGAATTAAAGTCACATCTTGTATTTAGGTCTCCAGACTGTGGGCATTTTTCGAGTGGGGAGCTCAAAGAAGAGGGTGAGACAGGTGAGGACAATTTTTTTGCAAAATATAAAAACATCCAAAAAAAAAATGTATAAAAACTTTTCTGTTTTGTCATGCTACACTCAAACTTCAAAGTATTTCACTGGGATTTCATGTGAGAGATCAAAGACAAAGTGCTGCATAATTGTGAAGCAGAAGGAAAACGTTACTTGGTTTTTAAGATCTGAAAAGTTTGGTGTGTGTTTGGATTCAGCCCCCAACATGCAGACTACAGGAATATCTTAGCTTCAGTGTGAGATTCATCCCTAACAGCATAAAACTCAACTCTACCATCAAAGGACACAGAGCAGAAGTACTTCTGGCAGAATAAGACAGATCCGCTTTATCATCAAAGCTCTATGACACAGAATTGATCAGACCTGCCAGAAGATGTCAACTCTTTTGCCTCGCACTCTGAGGTTTCCATTTTTATCAATAAGACCAGCTTTCACAGCATCAGTAAGCCAGCAGCACAAAAATAATGTCCTAAAATTACAAATCATCAGTAAGAACAGGAGGATGTCCCCAACACAGGCTAGTCGTGTTGAAACGCAGTTCATTTGCAAGAGAGATCTGTTATACAGAAATAAAACAGTAAAATCAATGCAACCAATAAAACACATTAATACAAAATAACCRTATCAACAAAAGCACATCGACATAAATTCAAACAAAAGCTACCCTCACTTTAAAAATAACCAAAATCGGAAAAAACTCAGAGACAGGAGCTTATGAGTTTATGGATGTGATCTCCAGTTCTTTCAATAAATATTTAAACTCCTTGAGGGTAACAAAAAGTTTAATTAAACTTTTGGTATTTATTYGTCATTTCAGTCATATTAGTTTTCATTTGCACATAGGGGCTGATTTATCAAAATCCCAAATAATGAGCGCTGAAGTGCTGCGCAAAGTAAAACATGCCTGTGCTGTCAGAAGACATGTTGCAGGTGATCTATTAAGATCGCTGTGCAAATGATAACAGGTGTAAAAGTACAACTGTGATGGACTTGCGACCTGTCCAGGGTGTACCCCGCCCCTCGCACTGTGACTGCTGGATATGGGCACCAGTGACCCATGTGACCCTGAAAAAGAAGAAGCGTGTACAGAAAATGGATGGATGGATGGATGTAAAAGTACAACAACATATCTGAGCCATTTTACACAGAAAAGTTTTGCATTTAACCATGGGGGTTTTTTTTCTCTCACAAATTTACGACTTTTGGATCTCAGAGAATTTCCTTGTTTTCTGGAAAATTTCTGAAATTAATCTCAAAATTTCTGAGTTTTTGGGCAGAAATTTACTTCTCTTCTTTTGTAATCTGCAAAGTGGCCGTAATACGCCATTGTGATAAAAGTGGTTGGACCACTCTACTGAAATGAAGATTTTGCATGTGCTACTGGTTGGAGACAGCTGATCTTCATGGTGGAGAAGGGGTATGACCTAATTTACCCTCTCTTAAAGGGGCTATATAATGTAAAATCAACTTTTTTGAGTTTTATATCATGTTATAATGTTATACTCTTATAAAAAAACATGTCCAAAGCCTTGCTTTGACTCATTTATTCATGTTTGAGAAATCCTGCAGTGTTTTTAGGCAGCCATGCTGAGGAGCAAAACGACAGGTGGGGACCAGAAACGCCTATTGGTACCAGAAACGCCCCTGGGACGTGTCTTTAAGCCGAACTTCCTCATGGCAGAGCGCACTCTGTCCCCCTCCACACACACCCTGACAGTTAGGTTTCATTGAAAGTGAAACCTAACTGTCAGGGTGTGTGTGGAGGGGGACAGAGTGCGCTCTGCCATGAGGAAGTTCGGCTTAAAGACACGTCCCAGGGGAGTTTCTTGTACCAAAAGGCGTTTCTGGTCCCCACCTGTCGTTTTGCTCCTCAGCATGGCTGCCTAAAAACACTGCAGGATTTCTCAAACATGAATAAATGAGTCAAAGCAAGGCTTTGGACATGTTTTTTTATAAGAGTATAAC